GGCATCTTGTAAAAACTAAAATGATAATAATACAAATGTCTTTTTTACTCACTATTTATTAAGAGTAAGATTTTCCTGCTATCACGTGTATCACAAGAAGATTGGATTATTTTTATGTTAAATAGTAAAAAGGGTAATCTCCGTCTATGTATAGATTTTTTCTTATCACTGACCTACTCAATATTTGGGTTCAATTATTTTCTTATTTAACGTTTGCTTCCCACGACTAAATTTTGAATACTGCGGTTATGCTCAAAAATCCCTCTCTTTTATAGTTTCATTGGGATAGTCTTTGACACCCAGACTTCATCCTTTTCCAATGATATTTATAAATTATATAGACGTCATCGGTGCATAGAACTGTATACTGACTATATGATTGGTTGTAGCTGTGCGAAGACAAATTGGGGCTAGGTGATAGAGGCTAGAAGCGGAAATTTTGGGAATCTATTTTTAACATCATCTCTTGTTACATTAGTTCGATTTCTTAAAACTATTTTCTTGAAGGGCAAAGTGGTCCCAATAATTTTACATTTTTAGCAATCTTTGTCTGCTATAAATAAAACAATACAATCCTGGAAAACAGTGTGTATATCATTATGATCAATATGTTCAAAAAAAAAAAAAAAAAAAAGAATGTAACATGGGTTTTGTCCACACTTTCAAGTGCAATATTTTATGTTCATACTACCACCTGAATACTTTGGGAATTTCATAGAAACGATGGGGACTTCATAGAAAAAGGTTGAGAACTTTATAGAAACGTTGAGAACTTTATAGAAACGTTGAGAACTTCATAGAAACGTTGGGAAATTTATAGAAACTTCGAGAATTTTATAGAAATTATAGTCCGTCTCAATAGCTTGACCTATATTTTTTGACATGCTATTTTCTTCGGGGCAGTGCAATTTTTATTCGATGACTTTCATATTTTAAGTGTTGGACAACGATATCTTGAAGTATATCTGTGAGAATTTTGAAAGAGATCAGTATACCAACAGTTGAGATACTACCTGTTGAACTTTTTTGGACACCCGATATATGACTGATTATTTACAATATCTTGGTGTAATAGTTCAGAGAGTATTATTTTGTCACTTTATCTAATTTTCTGGACTTATCACGTGTATCGTCAATAGAGTTAGAAAACATATGCTTTAGGCTATGGGTAATCCCCTCCTATTTATAGATTGAAAATTTACTTATTATTGAATAATAATATAATATATAATCAAAATCAAAATATATATAATCAAATAATATATGAGAGATTATTTACAATATCTTGGTGTAATAGTTCAGAGAGTATTATTTTGTCATCTAATTTTCTGGACTTATCACGTGTATCGTCAATAGAGTTAGAAGATAGCTTGCGATGCAAGGTAACATACGCCCACTGGCAGCTGTCAGAAATGATAAAACAGTCTTTAGTGACTAAAGTACGAATTTTCTCATATTAAAGAAATTATTTATGCTGAATAATTCCACAAAATTTTTTAAAATCAATATCAATAACCCAAATACAACAAACAATTAAATCACACAGCTCTAATCAAGGGCAACTTTTGACGCATGTTTACAAAGTCAAGGGCAATAACTCAAAAAATGTTCATCAAAAATATGTCTTGTTAGAACTAGCTGAGATCTTATCAATTCCAATGATCACACCAAGTTTCATCAGCAACGGATGAAAACTTCAATCCTGCTCACGAACAATTTTTAACAAATTTCAAGGCGTTCTAAGTCAAGGGCAATATCTCAAAAACCGTTCATCGAAAATATGTCAATCTAAAGCATCACACCAAGTTTTATCAAAATCAGATAAAAAAAAAAAAACTGTCGTCTCTATAGTGCTCACAAGAAATGTTGACGAACGGACCGACGGACCGACGGACCGACAGACAGGGGCGACGGCAATATACGACCACATATTCATGTGGGCGTATAAAAACATATGCTTTAGGCTATGGGTAATCCCCTCCTATTTATAGATTGAAAATTTACTTATTATTGACCTATTAAATTGTGTGGTCAGATTAAACTTATATAGATAACCTTTATCAGTGGTGCAGTGAGCATAATGTTTATATCATTTTCAAAGGACATTTTGGATTTTTCGTAGGTCAAAAAACCCTAGAGAGTTGTATCCCTTAAGTTATCTGGTAGCTTAGGCCTAAAAAACCTGCCGAAAAATTTTTACCGCCAAAACTATTCAAAATTGTTACCGCCAAAACTATTTTTATGTTTTTAAGTTTTTTTTAGTTTGTTAAAAAGTAGTCACGTATTTTAATTTTCTACTTATTTCTGTAAAAAAATTATATGATCTTACCTTTCAAGATTTCAATATAAAATAATGAATTCGAATATTTTCAGTTTTCTTGGATATGACGAAATATTATCAATATCAATACTGAATGCACGTCCGCTTCCGATGAGTGACTTTTATCTAATGAGGTATTGTAAATAAAATACTCTTTTTATAGTTTGATACACAGGCATCTGTTTTTATCAATAGTCGACTCTCTCTATAGGTGTCTAACGCTTGTCACGTCCATCTCTGCTTCAGACGATTTTCTACCATTTACGGTAATGAAATATAATCTCAACCTTATATGAATCGTTTCATTGAATATTTTCCCTTAACACAAGACCTATTTATGTCTCCCTCAGTGTTCCTCTTCATAGTAATCTAACTATTGTTCAATATACTAAAAAACTGTACACCCATCGTTTCAATGTATCTTATGATTTTAAATTTTATGTATTCAAAATAAAAATGTGATCTTTGAAGATAACATAGCGTAAAACCCTACTTTCAATTTGTTTGAATATTTGTGGTAGTAGTAAAGAGGGTAGGTCTATAAATAACCTGGTCTCATCCTATATTCATAAACTTTCAAGTTGCTTTTATTGCGCAATAATGACTAAAATCAAGGACAAACATATCTACCCCTACGACATACATGTTCAAAAGGTGCTTGAAGCAATGTGACTTTTCTTTTATAAAGATCTTGTGACTTGATTCAGAATCCAAAATTTGTTTAGCAGCTTCAACTAGTCCTTGTCTCACGTCTTCTCGTTCAGAATTTCCCAATTTCTTTGCTTGTGATTTCTCATCCTTCACTTCCGATATAAACTGTGGTACTGTAGTTTCTGGTATGCACTATCGTGTTTAGTTCCGATTGAAAGCAAAGTCGTAATTTGTTCCACTTGAACTATAGGTCAAGATATTGATACGGACTATAAGTCCAGCTATTGATACGGACTATACGTCCAGCTATTGAGACGAACTGTAGGTCAAACTATTGAGTTAGACTATAGGTCAAGCTATATAGACTGAAGGTCAAACTATTGGACAGACTGTATGTCAAGCTATAGAGATAAACTATAAGTCAAGTTATTGATACGGACTATAAGTCAAGCTATTGATACGGAATATAAGTCCAGCTATTGATACGGACTATAAGTCAAGCTATTAATACGGACTACAAGTCAAGCTATTGAGTCAGACTATTTGTCAAGCTTGTCAAGCTATAGAGATAGACTGTAGGTCAAACTATTGGACAGAATGTATGTCAAGCTATAGAGATAAACTATAAGTCAAGCTACTGATACGGACTATAAGTCAAGCTATTGAGACAGATTTAGGTCAAGGTATTGAGACAGATTATAGGTCAAGCTATTGAGACAGACTATAGGTCAAGCTATAGAGCTCGTATTAAAGCCCCATGGTCCCCGTGAAAAGAAACGAAAACGTGTTAGACTATAGATCGAGCTATTGAGATAGACTGTATGTCAAGTTATTGAGACAGACTATAGGTCAGGCTATTGAGACAGACTATAGGTCAAGCTATTGAGATAGACTGTAGATCAAACTATTGTTACAGACTAAAGGTCAAGCTATAGAGATAGACTGAAGGTCAAGCTATTGGACAGACTATAGGTCAAGCTATTGAGATAGACGGTAGATCAAGCTATTGGGACAGACTATAGGTCAAGCTATTGAGACGGACTATAGGTCAAGCTATTGAGACAGACTATAGGTCAAGCTATTAAGACAGACTATAGGTCAAGCTATTGATCAGTCTCTTCACAAACTGTCTAAAAACTGCTAAAGCCTTTTGGTCTTTAGATTAACAGATCCATTCAATCTAAAATTGCATCATGTGAAGATTTTCATGAGGAAAGGACGAGATCAGCTATAAAATATGCTATCAAACCACTTTGTACACAATATACCCTCTTTACTATTTGAGAACTTTGAGTTTATTGAAACTCTATGTTTCAGGATGTACGATTTTCAAACTAATAAACCATTTCAGCCGAATAGGTTAAAATTCAGGTCACCAATTTTAACATCCGACCATTTCCATAACTACAACTAAATACTATCAACCATTGCCCCCTCCAGATATTTGATTGTATTGTATTTATGTAAAATAAAATACGAAAGATTGTAATGTGACCACTTATTACTTTGCCTGGAAAAAAAATAATGTGATAACCAAGCATTGATCATTAAGTACTATAAAGACTAATTAATATTTACACTGATTGTAAAAGTTATACATTAGTAAGATAAAGATGTAAATGATAATATATTATGAAAATATCCATCAAATTACACGAGAACTAAATAACGCTAGTTAAAGAATAGAATCCGAAACTTTCACATATCAAATTTTAAAAGAGAAGGATTTCGTAACAAAGTTTCATTATTAAAAAGTCAGTCATCGGAAGCGGACCTCTTGTCAATATTAAATTGTAATAAATAATTTCTCAGGTCAGTAACAAGTACATTTGAAATCTATAAATAGATGGGATTACCCTTTTAATATTTAGCATAAAAATCAAAATAATCCATTCTTCTTGTGATACACGTGATAGCAGGAAAACAGAATAACCCAATAAACTGTTACTCTGTAAACCACCAAGATATTGGACTAATAAATAGTGAGTAAATAAGACATTTGTATTATTATCATTTTAGTTTTTACAAGATGCCGTGTCCGTTACCAGAAGAGATCTCGCTTGAAATAAGAAAAATATGGAAAAAGAGAGTGCCACACCATATCATGTTACAGAACGCTGATGATTGTATCACGTTCACTAATAGTCGAGATATCACAGTACAGGCGAGCAATAGAAACAATTTTATTGAAGTTTGGGGAAAATATGGTTTGATGGATGACGGTAGTGTCCACTTTTTAAGATGTTTTGTGAAAGAAATAAATCGCAATATTTATATCATGCGGATTCCTGTGTCCAAGGATAAAAAGTGTCATGCACAAGTTGATCCAGAATTGGTGGAATTACCGGAAAACTGGTCATGGAATAAGAAGCATATTCTTGAAGAACATTATCCGTATTGGTTTCGTTATGAAACCTTTGATAATGATGAATGTATTTTTCGCTCATTGTATAATGGACAGTATCTTCTTAAACAGACTGACGATTTTAAATCTGTAGAGTTTTTATATGTACATGAGAAAGAGACTGATTATTTTAAACTACCAACTTACTATTTCTTCAGAATATTTAAATATCAGCCTTCAATAAGATATCGTCTTCATCCAGACTTACAGAACCTCCTATACCACCATTTACCTAGGATAATATCATGTTTAAAAGGACAAAATATACAACGTAGGCCTACTTGATAATCCTGTCTAATCCAAGATTAGACCCTTAAAGGATCAGGAATAATTTGAGGAAAGCTGTTCATAATAGGTCGGATAAAAGTGAAAAGTGTTTGTGCCATTATGGAATATAAAGAAAATCTACGTGTCTATGTAATTATAAAATTCATTGCTATTCCGAAACTTAATCATCTATGGGAAAATATTTAAAACATTGTTTAATAAAAACAAAATTGTAAATAACATTAGTACATGTATGTTGATTTATTAAGGAATCATATTTATTTGTTCGTTTATTCTTTTTCATCAGATTTTTTATGCTTAATACCTGCGTATTCTTAAGCTACTTTGTCAGTTAGCCTACGTGACCAACGACAATGTCGACCTTGGAATTTGATTTGCAGATCCATTCAATCTAAGGACCTAAGGTTGTATCATATGAATATGTTTATGAATATAGGATGAGATAAGCTTATAATTTAGGCCATCACACCACTTTGTATTGTTACTTAAAGTTTATTGAATCTATATGTTTCATCCTCTACTTGCTTCAAATAAAAAAAAAAACACATTGGTACCAGATTGCTATTATATCCCTGTCACCAAACTCAGTGGTGCATTTAGGGTACGGCCATCTTAAGAGTCTTTTTAAGGGGGTTTAAACGATGTATCGGAAAAATATCATCTTTAGGGAAATAATGGTATAATTTTATTGATATTCCTAGAAAAATCGGTCAGACAATATTATTATGTCATACTAGATGTGTCATAGTGTGATTTTACTTCCTAATTTCCCTCGTATAAGGCAATAATGCTGATATGTACAAGAACGTCCTAGGATTGTTTTCGTTGAAATACAGGAGAGTCAGAGAACAGAGGAATTTGGAGAATTTGGGATGCGTTGAGCAGTGTTGTCTCTATGAATCAGTGAGTGAATCCAACAGACAATTCTTTCACTATGTCATATAATCTGAAAGTTGTAAAACCGGTTCAGCCTTTTTTCCGGCGTGGAGGCAATATTTAGACGACTATAATGCCTTGGCTTAGATATTTCTAACAAAATAACTTTTTTTTCTTTTTCTTTTTTGTACGATATCCATTTCAAAAACATTACCCATTTTGAATACTGCATATTGATTCAGTGTTAGCGGGAACAATTCAGTATGGAAGGTATTATAAGCAAAGCAAAGCTAGTAAGAAAGACTGGTGGAAAGAAAACCCAGAATAACAATGAGTCAATGGATCTGGCTATTGATCTCCAAGTTACATTCGGTGAATTCTTTGGACCCTCTTCATCTTTTCCTTCAGACGTTACCGTAATATTGTCCTTACGTCTTCCACAACATGGTCGCAAAACACGCATGTACAAAAACAACCAGGAGCCAGAGATTTTCTGTGTTTTGTTGTGTATCTTTGCAATCAGAATTGACATGAAGACGAATACAGCACTGAAGGCAAGAAGGCATGACATATACACAGAAAGTGATGACGTAGTTTCAGACGTCTGTGGCATCCTATCGTTAATGAATCCAAGAAACACTCCGAACGCCAATAGAATGGTGACAGAGAATGATATTTTTTCTCCTGTTTCCGCAGGTACTAAAAACACCAATACGTTTATATTGGCCAAAATCACTAATGGTATAATGATACTTTGGATTAAAACTGTAGCTCGTCGTTTTAACCTTAGAGTTACCACTATCGTTGGGTGAGGTTTCCCTTCAGTATTCAAGAATTTTCTTTCTAGAGACGACCCAATTAGCTCCCATTCGCCATTTTCTTTAAAGGTATCTAAGTCTACGTGATCAATATACGGCTCAAGATCCACTGATTCGATCTCGTGTCCCCACACAAAAAATTCCAATTCACAGCTTTGTACATCAAAAGGAAATGACTCCACATTCATCTTACAAGAGGTCCTGAAAGCAGATCCCGGAGTCCATCTTACAGTTCCATTTGAACAGACGGTAGGGTGTAAAAACTGGCTATCGATTGGTTTCAGTTCATCGATGCTGTTTAAAACTGCAATACTTGGATTCCAGATTTTATGAGGTGGAACTGTTGTCTTTACCAAACCACCGTAGTCGGATGGCAACCATTTTAGATTCTGATCCGTCCATTTGACGCTGAGCCATGCAGTCGAGTATAAAGATTCCGACAATTCCTCAAAGCTCGTGATTGCCAACAAATGGAACGATATGGATACAATAAGGGTGTCGCTAAAATTCAAAACGGGTCGAATTTCTGGATTATTTGTGTCAATCGTCTCCTTCATCCATCTGTCAACGTCAAAAAACGTTTGGCCGTAACATCCATCGAATAATAAAACAACTGCGAAAATCAGTCAGCAATGCCATTTTTTTCATATTTCAGATTTACACTTTGAGGGAGTGAACGGATCGATTCTCACTGAGTTTATGATATCTTATCCTGAATGATGCTCAGTTAGTGTGATATAACTAGATCCTCAATTGTCTCCTCTTTATTCAAATTATGTTTCTTATGAAATATGTGACATAATATTTCCACTAAGGATATTAAATCCTCACTAAGTCTGTAATATCAGATCCTCACTAAGTCTGTAATATCATATCCTCATTAAGTCTGCAATATCAGATCCTCATTAAGTCTGCAATATCAGATCCTCATTAAGTCTGTAATATCAGATCCTCATTAAGTCTGCAATATCAGATCCTCACTAAGTCTGCAATATCAGATCCTCATTAAGTCTGCAATATCAGATCCTCACTAAGTCTGCAATATCAGATTCTCATTAAGTCTGTAATATCAGATCCTCACCAAGTCTGTAATATCAGATCCTCACTAAGTCTGTAATATCAGATTCTCGCTAAGTCTGTAATATCAGATTCTCGCTAAGTCTGTAATATCAGATCCTCACTAAGTCTGTAATATCAGATCCTCACCAAGTCTGTAATATCATATCCTCACCAAGTCTGTAATATCAGTTCCTCACTAATTCTGTAATATCAGATTCTCGCTAAGTCTGTAATATCATATCCTCACTCAGTCAGTGATATCATATCCTCACTAAGTCTGTGATATTAGGTCCTCACTAAAAATGTGACACCACATCCTCATATAGTCTGGTATTTCAAATCCACAGTAAGACGGGGATATCAGATCCTTGCTAAGTCTGTAATATCATATCCTCACTAAGTCTGTAATATCAGATCCTTACTAAGTCTGTAAATATCAGATCCTCGCTAAGTCTGTAATATCAGATCCTCACTAAGTCTGTAAATGTAATATCAAATCCTCACTTAGTCTGTAATATCAGATCCTTGCTAAGTCTGTAATATCATATTCTCACTAAGTCTGTAATATCATATCCTCACTAAGCCTGTAATATCATATCCTCACCGAGTCGGTAATATCAGATCCTCGCTAAGTCTGTAATATCATATCCTCGCTAAGTCTGTAAATGTAATATCAGATCCTCACTAAGTCTGTAATATCAGATCCTCACTAAGTCTGTAATATCATATCCTCACTAAGTCTGTAATATCATATCCTCACTAAGTCTGCAATATCAGATCCTCACTAATTCTGTAATATCAGATCCTCGCTAAGTCTGTAATATCAGATCCTCACTAAGTCTGTAATATCCTATTCTCACTAAGTCTGTAATATCATATCCTCACTAAGTCTGTAATATCAGATCCTCACTAAGTCTGTAATATCAGATCCTCACTAAGTCTGTAATATCACATCCTCACTAAGTCTGTAATATCAGATCCTCATTAAGTCTGTAATATCAGATCCTCATTAAGTCTGTAATATCACATCCTCGCTAAGTCTGTAATATCAGATCCTCACTAAGTCTGTAATATCCTATTCTCACCAAGTCTGTAATATCATATCCTCACCAAGTCTGTAATATTAGACCCTCACTAAGTCTGTAATATCATATCCTCACCAAGTCTGTAATATCAGATCCTCACTAAGTCTGTAATATCCTATTCTCACCAAGTCTGTAATATCAGACCCTCACTAAGTCTGTAATATCATATCCTCACTAAGTCTGTAATATCAGATCCTCACTAAGTCTGTAATATCAGATCCTCACTAAGTCTGTAATATCATATCCTCACTAAGTCTGTAATATCATATCCTCATTAAGTCTGCAATATCAGATCCTCACTAATTCTGTAATATCAGATCCTCGCTAAGTCTGTAATATCAGATCCTCGCTAAGTCTGCAATATCAGATCCTCACTAATTCTGTAATATCAGATCCTCGCTAAGTCTGTAATATCAGATCCTCACTAAGTCTGCAATATCAGATCCTCACTAATTCTGTAATATCAGATCCTCGCTAAGTCTGTAATATCAGATCCTCGCTAAGTCTGTAATATCATATCCTCACCAAGTCTGTAAATGTAATATCAGATCCTCACCAAGTCTGTAATATCAGATCCTCACTAAGTCTGTAATATCATATCCTCACCAAGTCTGTAATATCAGATTCTCGCTAAGTCGTAATATCAGAT